CCCCAAAACCCCAAAACCCCAAAACCCCAATCAATCTTAAGAGGATTGAAATTATTCATGGAGAATGCTACATATTCAATCACTGTATTCGTCAAGAAACTCTTTGAGTCTTTTCGAAGGCTTGTCTACAATACTGGAAATTTCCTGGAGAGTATATGCTCCTTTTCTAAGAAGAGGAGCCATGAAAATAAGCAAATCTCTTCTGTGCTTTCTTGGTTCTCTAAATTGAATGTAATCTTCAAAGCATATCTCCTCTTTCAGTTGGGTTTCTTTGTAAATTTCAGAGTCCATTTCATCGGATCCATAATCTTCTATTCATTCAAGCTCCTGACTATTAGGACTAGGAGAATTGCTTCGTTTCTTCTCTTTTAAGGATTTCATATAGTTTATCGAACTATCAATGGTGGTTTTCCTAATCTTTTTGCTAGAAAAATAGTCAAAGGAGATCCTACCGTGTAGTGCTCTTTGAGATTTTCCTCTTTGGAGTATAAATTGTTGAATCTTTTTCGCTTTTTAGGGGCAAAATCAGGTAATAACAGTAAAAGTTTTCACAGATCATGTCATTTCTGAGAAGGTAAGCTATATTTGATGTGAGAAGGATACCAATAGTCATGTCAAGCTCTTGTTGGTCTGAAAATTCCTTCTCAATTTTGTCCTTCTCCCTCTGAGTCATGGAGAAGATTCAGAGATATTCTTGGAGAGAATAAGTCTTCCTGATTTTGTTTGATTTCAGGAATTGGTCAAATTTGATAATTGAATCGTTACTGGTAACTGCTTTGTCACTGACTCTGTAGATGTTGCTAAGGTCTTGAATGACCCCCTCCTTGTCCTTGATGTTGATCCTGATCGGGTAGATTAGTTTAGCTTGGTTCCAGTAAAGGAGATGCTTCGCGCATCTGAGCACTTCATCTATGCTAAGTTCTGTTTCAAGACAAATCTCAGAGAAGCTCTTTAGAGGAGAGATTCAAGTAATAACTGTTACTAATAGCCGAGATGTATCTGAAGGAAGCGTTGAGAGAGTCTTTTCAATGTCGTGGAATAGTAAAGTCTGTGTTGGCTTGACACACACTTTGTTGCTGAAGTCAAGATCTTGGAAGATTTTAGGGTCAATTCCTTCGAACATTACATGAAGTTTACGAGCAAGCTCGTTCTCTTTGAAAATGGTCTCATTAATTTCTTCTTCAGAAAGACCCATCTCAACTCCGTTGTCTCTGATTGAGAGGATCTTGTTGGTCTGTTTTTGGAGGTAAGCGCTATTGTACTCGAAATACTCGAATTGGCATGTATAATTCCTTAATTTATTCATGAAATGCTTTATATCAGTGTCCTATATATAAATCTTCCTATGGGATTGTACATTGTCGTCTTGAGAGTCTACATATTAAAATCAGAGGGTACCATTAATATTATCTTGTGATAAATCTGGAATTGAGAGAGCCAGTACCAAGCTTAAAGATCTCAGTCTATACAGGGTCAGTTATAAAGTTTCAAAAAGAAACGAGGTGAGGAAATACTTTTTGAGATTCTTTTGTTTAGCTTTTTCAATGCCCATCTTTTTAACATATCTTTGCTGTCTCTTCTCCTTCATGGTCTGTTTCTCAGAATGTTGGAATTCTATCGGGAAAGCAAGAAATCTTATTTTAGAGGAAAATTTACCTTATTTGCTCGATTTCAATGTCAAAGATTTTATTGTACATGGCAGAACTTTTGGGGATAAAGAATTCTGCAAATTCCTGCATTGAGTTACTAAACGCTGCATTCTCTGGACTGATGGATTCCAAAGGCTTATCTTTTGAGTATCTTTTACTGAGTATTTATAAAAAATTTAACTACTTACGGCCTGCTCCTGGCTTGGTAAACTACTCTTTTTCCCTTGGTAAAACTACTGACCACTAATGAAAGCGAAATCATTTTTGTATTAAATATATTATTTTTGGGGTTTTGGGGTTTTGGGGTTTTGGGGTTTTGGGG